TTTGAGACAGAGTCTCACTGTGTTGCCCGGGCTAGAGTGTCGTGGCGTCAGCCCAGCTCACAGCAACCTCAAACTCCTGGGCTCAATCGATCCTCCTGCCTCAGCCTTCCGAGTAGCTGGGACTACAGGCATGTGCCACCATGCCCGGCTAATTTTTTCTATCTATTTTTTTTAGTTGTCCAATTAATTTCTTTCTAATTTTAGTAGAGACGGGGTCTCGCTCTTGCTCAGGCCGGTTTTGAACTCCTGAGCTCAAACAATCCGCCTGCCTCGGCCTCCCAGAGAGCTAGGATTACAGGCGTGAGCCACCGTGCCCGGCCTACAATTAGTTATTAAGTCTAGTCTGTTATTCTTCACTCTTCTCCATACTTTCCCTCATCTCTTTCTCTACTCCTGTTGCTTTCAGTGCCCTCCTGAACTATGGAATTGATCCCCTAATGGTCTCTTATTTGATGTGTAAACCCCTTAGATCCATCCCTCAAGCTACTACAAGAGTAACTTATAAATTGATAATTGAGTTGTGTTAACTCTGTACGAAAGATGGATCCCCATTACCTGCAGAACAAAATTTTATCTCCCTAAAAGATCCACCACAAGCTGGCTCTTGCCTGTTTTGTCAAATATCTCTTTTCCCACAGAATGGTCCCCTTCCTCCCTAGCTGAACTATTTGCATATCGGTAAATATTCTTTTTCGTACTTTCCTGTCTTAGTGTTCGTTGAGCTTTCTGTTCCTGGGATCACCCATTTTCCAGCTTTGAAATTCATCTTTAGGGACTCTTGTTTGTTATCATCTGGAACAAAACCTTTTATGATGGCAATTCTCTTTCAAGGGGAATTGACATTCCTCCCTGAATAGTACTCCTCCTTCCCTAATGTGAATTTTTATCTTTATACTTATAACCTTTTATTGTACTTGTCTACAAGTTTTTCTTTGTAGTAAAACTGTGATCCTTGTGAGCACAAGCACTCTTCTTAATTGTCTGAATTGCGTGTGTGTTTTTAGCACAGTTCCTGGCAAGTGGTCTGCCTCTGCCCTGAAGCAGTCTTAGAAATGCAGTGAATCCTATACATTTCACTGACCAGATTGTCCTCCTTAACTCTGAGGAAAGTTTAATGAAAGTAATCCACTTTCTCAGTTCATTCAACTTTCTGTGCCTCCACATTTGGTATATGTATCCTATAGGAAAGTGGGAACTTGCACATTTAATCTGTGTATTTAAAAAGTAAATGCCTTTTATATCAAAGGAAATGGAACTCAAGAAAGCCTAAGATTAACATAATACCTATTGATTTTGTATTTCATTATCTTCTATTTGTTATAATTCTGAATACAGTGTTAAATTATTAAGTGCTGCTAATATGTAATTATTTGGTAGATTCCATGGTGATGGCTATTTTGTGAAAAGTGCCAAAATGATCACCTTTCTGTATCAACCATTCATATCCCTTTTTTCCTAGCCTTCTTTGAATCCAGAAGCTGGCAAACAGAATCAGCCATGCAGACCTTTTGGGACCCCTTCTGGAGTGTGGGGTAGGTAGATTTTGCTGTTTTTAAAGGTACAACTTTAAAATTTTTCTTAGCAGGGAGAGGAGCAAAAATTCTTTATTTCTTTTTTGTTTCTTTATCTCTTGTTTCTCATCTCATCCATTTGCCCATACTAACTTCTATTCTTTAGTAATCTAAATGTCTACAACTATAGCAGGTTACTCTGTCCCCCAAAATACTATTTAAAGTAATCATGGTAGTAGAGTCAGAATACAGACAACTGAGAGCTGTAGAACCCTGAATTTGGAATCAGACTTTAAGGGAGAATAATAATAAAGCTCATAAGAAATCATCTTTAATTAGCATTGCTAATTTATATATAACAATTAAATTGTATTTTATATGTTATGATTGTCTTCTAAACTTATGGTGGGTATACATAATGATACATCCTAAGCATTCCCCCATATATAAATATATGTATGTATATATTTTTGTTTTTGTTTTGGAGACAGAGCCTCACTCTGTTACCTGGGCTAGACTGTAGTGGTATCATCATAACTCACTGCACCCTCAAACTCTTGGGCTCAAGCAATCCTCCTGCCTCAGCCTCCTGAGTCGTTGGGACTACAGGTGCACACCCCCACGCCTAGCTAAGTTTTTATATTTTTAGTAGAGATGGGGTCTTGCTATAGCTGGTCTCCAACTCCTGAGGCCAAGTGATCCTCCTGCCTTGGCCTTCCACAGTGCTAGGATTACAGGTGTGAGCCACTGTACCTGGCCTGTGTATATTTAAGTGACAGGATTGCATTATGTTGCCCAGGTGATGCTCCCACCTGATCCTCTTGAGAAGCTGGGATTACAGACACATACCACTCCATCTCTCTCCTCCATATTATTATATACTCTTTCCAGAAGTAGTTCTTTGAAAGGTTTTGTAATACCACATCCTATGAATATAACATTTTGTTCAGCCAGGTTCCAGTTGGATTTTTTATTTTTTGGTATTTATAAATGATACTTATTACGTAGGGCAAGGGAAAAATATATATAAATGCATGCATATGTTGGGAATAACTAGACTTATTAAAAAACATATAGGAATCAGTGTATGTCAAATCAAAGCTAATCTGTGGCATTGACAAATTGGACTATCCTTGTCCCTTCATTAAACATGTACACTGGCCACGCATCTTATTGGGAAGTCTTCAACATATCTAAACAATGGTTTTGGATCCAGTGTTATAAGATTAATGGTGATTGCTATACCTTCACCTCTTATTTTTTAATAGACTTTTATTCTTTCATATGAATTTTTCAAACCATCTATAAGTTCAAATATGTTGTCTTCTATTCCTGCTTTGCTGAGAACATTTATCATAAATGAATATTGAGTTTTATTGATTGCTTTTATCTTGGTATATTGAGGAGATTCTACTGAGTTCCTCTTTTTTTTTTTTTTTTTGAGACAGAGTCTCACTGTGTT